ATTGTAATCAGAATATATCATTTGAAAAATCAATTTTAATAAAAAATAAAATAAAGGCATGGTCTCATGCACCCCCAGGCTGGCTTTAATTCACTATGTAGCCAAGGACGGTCTTGTACTTCTGATGCTCCTGTCTCCACCTCCCAGTGTGGGTGTTACAGGTGTGCAACTCCATCTGTCTCACCTCCCAGTGTGGGTTACATGTGTGCCACTCCATGCTCAGGTTGTGCAGACTAGGGCATGGAACACAGGGCTTCATGCATGCTAGACAAGCTCTCTATGACTGAGCCACATCTCCAGCCCAGCTCCACTTCTCATTGAGAATGGAGTCCATTACTGCCTGCTAAGCCATGTCCACCAGTCACCTGCATCATGGGAACAGAGCCCACCTCCACAGATACAGTCAGAGAGTGAATGGCAATGCACCACAGGGCTGCAGATCTCACTGGCATGAGAACACCAGGCTTGTACAAGAGCCTGAATGCTGGCTTTCATGTCAAATGTGTTTTTGAACTGTGATATATGGGCCACGTACTTATGAAAGAAGACTTCACTCTGGCATGGCAGACACTGGCGCCCAAAGCAAGGTGAGTGTAATACAAGGGATGTCTCTCAACTCAACTCCCTTTCAGATCTGAGACCCACAGCTGGGTGCATCAGGTGTGTGTGGTGTAAAATGGCATGACCAGTCTACAGCCCCTTCTCAGCTGGCCTGGGACAGGAGCTCCCAGCCTCGAAGGTTGTGGCCTTTACTTCCTCACAGCCCAGTCAGGAGAAATGCTGCCATCCCTCTTCCAATAGAGAACCGCCTCTCTTCACTGGTACCCCACCCATCCCCCAGGAGAAGCCAGTGTGTGCTTACTGGAGGAGTTCTGCTTTGGAGAGCTCCTCTGTCTTCCACTCCCCAGTGGCCATGGCCAGTTCTGTCTTCAGGTCTGAAATCTCCTTTTGCAAGCGGATAATCATCTGTGCAGGGAAAAGTGGGAGAGCACATGTCCATTTCTGCAGCAAACACATAGCTTGGAAGGTTATGAGGCACTGGGTGTGCAAGATAGCTCAATGACTAGGGAACAAGCCTGACACACACTTTCAATCCCTGGGATCCAGACCCACATGGTAGGAGAAGAGAACTGACTCCCACAAATTGTCCTCTGAACTCTACATGTGTGTTAAATGTGCACACATGTGTGACTAAGGAAAACTGTAGCTATTTTAGGATACAAAACTGGATAGAGAACAGTCTAAAAGGCATTAGTATCCCTAACATTGGGTCTAAATAGCTCTAGAACTATTTTGTAAACAAATAAAACATTACAGATACAACTTGAGACGTCTCCCTCTGTTCCCTGTCTATCCTTCCTGGAGTGTGCTTCAATGAAGTTGGGAGTTATCCAAACACTTCCTTTACAGTGTCATACGTTTACTCCGCATGCATGCTCTACTGAAAGCTCCCTTAGACAATGTAGAATATCATCTTGCATGCCTTAAACTATGTGAACATTCTATTACTGCATGTAATTTCTTTTTCACATGATTTGAGATCATTTATATTGGTTTATGCAGCTCTTCATCACAAATTTTCAAGAGCACATACTATTCAAATGAATTATGTCAAAATTTAATAGAGTTGTAGAGATGACTCAGTCAGTACTGATCCCCAAAACCCACGAGGAAAAGTTAGACATGGTGGTGCATGCATGTAACTCCAGGTGGAGCTAGCTGGTTGATGAGCTCCAGGCCTATAAGAGACTGTGTCCCCAAAAGAAAGGTGTGTGTGTGTGTGTGTGTGTGTGTGTGTGTGTGGTGTATGTGATGTGATGTGTGTGTATGTATATATGGAATATGTGTATGTATGTGTGTGTGGTGTGTATGATGTGTGTGTGTGTGGTGGCTCAGCAGGGAAGAGTGTTTACTACACAAACATGAGGACCCGAGATCCAGTCTCATGACTCACTTAGAATTCAGGTCATGGACATGGATGCTTGCCACACCAGAACTGAGTGGAGGGGTAGCTGATGGGGATTATCCCAGCTACCAGTCCTTACCGGGGAAGTGGAAAATGCTATCTCAAAAGCATACAGCAGAACGTGACAGAACAACTTGACCAATGTCCTTTTCTGACCTCTGTGAATGCATGCTCATGTGCACACACACACACACACACACACACACACACACACACACACACACGTGGACAGTGTTACTGGAAAGGGAAGGCAGTGGAAGTGAGGGAGGAGAGTTGATATTTACTTAGTTAATTGGTTGATTAGTTTTGGTAACTCCAATTTTCAAGGATTGGCAAACATGGATAGAGCCTGCCAATGATTGTTTTACCAAATTCATATTATAACCACATAATCATTAGTAGGGCACATTAATAGGGTACTTACTGTTATGACCCAGTTGGACTTACCCAGGAAGTTAAGGATAAACTATTATTATAAAAATATCTGAATGAGCACTGAAATTAAAAAAAAAAATAAAGAGGGAAGGCTGCATGGGGTGATAGCTTTAGTAGGTCCATGATGTTTTATTCCTTAAGATGAAGAAACGTGGTATCCACTTAAGAAAAGCAGTGGGTCTACAGTTTTCTTTTGTACCTTTTGCATATATGAAATAGTTCCTACTAAAGCTGATTAAAGGGATTGTGATCATTTATCACACGTACAGTTTAAAGGAGAAATATCGAGCAATCTTATCACTAGCTGGTTCCCAGTGTATATGCACCTACTATAGGTCAATCAAATGGACCTACAGCTCCAGGGCATCCACACCCTCTTGCAGACTCCCCTGTGGCCACACATACACACACACACACACACACACACACACACACACACACACACACACACGTGGACAGTGTTACTGGAAAGGGAAGGCAGTGGAAGTGAGGGAGGAGAGTTGATATTTACTTAGTTAATTGGTTGATTAGTTTTGGTAACTCCAATTTTCAAGGATTGGCAAACATGGATAGAGCCTGCCAATGATTGTTTTACCAAATTCATATTATAACCACATAATCATTAGTAGGGCACATTAATAGGGTACTTACTGTTATGACCCAGTTGGACTTACCCAGGAAGTTAAGGATAAACTATTATTATAAAAATATCTGAATGAGCACTGAAATTAAAAAAAAAAATAAAGAGGGAAGGCTGCATGGGGTGATAGCTTTAGTAGGTCCATGATGTTTTATTCCTTAAGATGAAGAAACGTGGTATCCACTTAAGAAAAGCAGTGGGTCTACAGTTTTCTTTTGTACCTTTTGCATATATGAAATAGTTCCTACTAAAGCTGATTAAAGGGATTGTGATCATTTATCACACGTACAGTTTAAAGGAGAAATATCGAGCAATCTTATCACTAGCTGGTTCCCAGTGTATATGCACCTACTATAGGTCAATCAAATGGACCTACAGCTCCAGGGCATCCACACCCTCTTGCAGACTCCCCTGTGGCCCTACATACACACACACACACACACACACACACACACACACACACACACACGCACACATACCTTTTTCTAAAACTAGTACTTGATAGTATCAAGAATTCATCAACAGAGCTGAGCGTTGGTGGTGCGCACCTTTAATCCCAGCACTTGGGAGGCAGAGGCAGGTGGATCTCTGCGAGTTTGAAACCAGCCTGGTCTACAAGACATAGTTCCAGGACAGGCTCTAAAGCCACAGAGAAACCCTGTCTCAAAAACAACCAAAAATTAAAATAAAATAAAATAAAAGAATCCATGAACATATTGTAAAGGTGAACATATTTAAGTCAGAGTATCAACCACAAAGTTAGAGTAAACCTTTATTTTGGCAACGAGTGGTAGAAACAGGAAGACAAGCATGTCTTTAAAACTGTCTGAAATTCAGGCTGATGAGACACTGACAAGAAGAAGATCATAGGCTCATATTGCAGATCATGTTATTGTCTATACAGAACATCTGAGAGTATTGGAAGGCAAAGGTAACCAAAAGTTGATACAAAATTTCTTTGGTCGATAATCCATTTATAAGTTTCATTCCAATACATCAGAATCCAACAATCATAAAATACAGTTTTCCTTACGTCTATGCTTAGAACATCCACAAATCCTTTGCCCCTCCTGCTATGCAATCTAAAGACCTAGTTAGGGTTAGTACTTCTGTGAGGAAACACCATGACCAAAGCATCTTGAGGAGGACAGGATTTATCTCACTCACAGCTCCAGATAACAGCTCATCATCCAACACAATGAGGGCAGGAACTGGAGGGTATGTGCTGCTTACTGGCTTGTTCCTCATGGTTTGTTCAGCCTGTTTTCTTAAAGAACGCAGGACCAGCAGCCCAGACATGGTGCCACCCACCATGGGTTGCGCCTCCCTCCATTAATCACTAATTAAGAAAATGCCCTACAGACTTGGCTATAGCCTAATCTTATTATTTGCTTAATTGGGACATTTTCTTAATCGAGGTTCCCTCCTCTCAGATGACTTTAGCTTGTGTAAAGTTCGCATAAAACTACCCAGCACAACACCCCAATATTGTTAGAAAGGTGTGGCGTCTGTTTGTACCCATCCTTGAGAACTGGAGTCCCCAAACCTGTAGGGAGCCGTCCCTGCATTCTCCATTACAAGATGGCGCCTGCATCCGGCAGGCACCGAATGTAAACAAGTTAATGCACAGGTGCTGGGTAACTTTCCATCCCTTGGTCTCTGCCTCTTCGTGGCGTCATATGGTCCGATGAGCTACAGCCAATCATAGGGTGACACGTCCCAGGCGGCGGTCGCCAGCCTTTATTAGGGGACGGGATTCTTGGCTCGGGGTCTCCGCTCTGGTAAGCTTATGCTCTCCTCTCTCAAGAAACACAAAGCTTTACTGCAGAAGGATCCGAGTGTCCTGTGTTGTTCTTGCCGGCAAGACTATCGCGCGGGACACAAACCAGCTAAGTTAACATCAGCTCTTCCCTTCCCATCCCTGCCCCTCTCCAATATGGTTGTTTATTCTCCTACTTCTTTACTTGGGGATTGCTTTTCAGGAGGCAGAGACAGGTAGATCTCAGTGAGTTCCAGGCCAGCGAGGGCTACAGAGTGAGAACCCAAATCAAACAGAACAAAAACAACCTTCTAGATCAAAGAGCTTTTGTGCATGTGAAATTCAAACCTGTATGAAGGAGGGATAAGACTTTCAAATTCTCAAGAAAATATGACTTGTGGGGCTGAAGGGCTGGTTAAGTGGACTGGGCACCACTCTTTCAGAGGACCTGAGTTCAGTTCCCAGCAGGCACCCATGTTAGGTAGCTCACAATGGCCTCCAGAGGCACCCATACTTACACACACACACACACACACACACACACACACACAAAACAAAACAAAACTATTTTGAGGAAAGCACCATTTGTCAACTGAAGTCTGGGATATGGTAGATGGCCTCCCTGGTGTCTACACATCAGGGAATACATTTATTTTCTGGCTCCCTCTTAGTTGGTTTTATGTTAGGGAGGGAAGCAGACATCCCATTCTCCGGTGTCCAGGACTGTGACTCCCATCCCTGGGTTAACACAGTCCACACCCAAGGACACCTCAGTCTTGGGGTCCCCTCCTCTCAGGTAACAGGTTCTAAAGATGCTTACAGAACTCTATGCCAGTGAGCTTCAGGTTCCCTTGACCACATCAACAGGACCAATAGTGCCTCAAAATCATCACACAATATTTTAGACACAGGCTCCAGGGACTTTGTTAAACTACACAGAGTTCCATGTTTTATTTGCCGGCCTCCTTTCAAAACACAGTCGGAAACCTTCAAGTCACACAGAATAGAACTCTTTGGACAAGAACTAGTCCATTCATTTTACAACCTCTCCTAAAATGAGACTGATGCTTTAGGTCTTTGGTTACTGTGCCTGTGGACATGTGTGGGAGCACATACCCAAGGAGTCATCCTACCTCTGCCTTGCCAGCACTGGGATTGCAAGTGTGTGCATCACACCAGTTTTCTTATGTGGTTCTGGGGTCAAACTCAGGACCTCATGCTTATATAGTGAGCACTTTACCAACTGAGCCATCTCCTGGCTCTATATTTTCTAAGGATTGATAACCCCAAACTAACATTACCATGGCCATGCCTCCCACAGGTTTCCTGTGGAGTCAGCGGCATCTGGGGAGATCCTGACCCACGTCCAGTCACCTCAGGATCTGCCAGCTCATGTCCCTCACCATGTGACTTTGAAGTACTAGTGTGTGGTGATTCTGACCATGCAGGGTGGCACAATACTTGGCATTAAAATCTGAGAGTAAAACACAGGAAATCCCAGCCAAGTTGTATCTTGGGCAGATTTTAACACTTCTTTAAAACAGATTGGTTTTATTATTTTAGCAATTATGTCCTTGTGTGGGCATGTGCCCATGAGTGCAGAGGATGCCTGCCTGGGACATCAGTCTCTGGAGCTGCAGTTACAGGCAGTCGTGAGTCACCTAACATCGGTGCTAGGAATTGAACTTTTGCAACATGAGTGCACTCTCTTAACTTCTGAGCCATCACACCTACCCCCAGGACACATTTTTTATTGTATTTCAGCAAGTTTCACACTTGAAAATAATAAGCACCAATGTGTGGTTTTAGGTGCCATTATTACGGAGACTAGCAAGCCATACTTGGCAGTTACCATGTCAGTAAGCACTAGGAAGAACCACGGCAATTGCTTCTATTATCAGCTACTAGCTTTTTGCTCCCGATCTCTCTCTGTTTTAAATCTGTCAGAGACCAACATCAAACACATGCTGGTATCCTCTGCCTTCAGATACTTCAAAGACATGTCTCTCTGGCAAAATTTATAAGGAAAAGCTTCCAAGGTCTTATATGTTTATTTTCCACAAATTGTGAACTAATATTTGTCTTCCAGATAATAGGACCTTTCTCATTCTGCACAGCGACGCTCTTGGGATATAGAAGAGAAGGGACAGCCAGAATGGTGCTTTTGGGATGCAGGAGGGACAGGGATAACAGACTACATCCTCTAGGGGTGCAATTCCTCTTTACTCTGGTTTTGCATTCTGCCCCCTTCCCTAGGACTCTGTGGTGCTGGGGTCTGACCAAGGTGGGTACAGGAATCTCCTGCTTCACCTATTTTCACTGATTCTCCATCAGGGAAAGCAAGGCTCCCTGAGGCTAGCAGGGCAAGACAGATAGCTCCATTATATTTTTCCTTCCTTTCCCTCTGTCCCTCAGTGGAGTGAAAGCAGGTGGGGAGAGGTAGGAAATGGAGCAGGCATTCAGATCACAACAGTGATCATATTTTGATTTTGAAAACTTTGAAAATGCAGTTGGTGAGGTTTCACATTTTTTAAGCTGTGCATATTGCAAGGCTCACATCAGCTTATTTTCTAGAGAAATGAGAAAGGCTAAGTGATCTAAAAATATACAACCTTAATCATGGAATTTGACAAATCTGGGAGATTTAGTCAGAGTTTTGGGTGGTAGCCTGAGTTGATCCAATATTTATTGCCTTTCCTTTGCAGAGAACTTACAAATACAAAGAAAAAAAACATATTTAAAGTGAGTAATTGAACCTTGTATGTGTGATTTCCTTGCATAAAAGTGCTTTGATGAGGCAGTAGTCATTTTTATGAAACCAAGAAAACTGTTAATTTTTCCATGAATCACACTATAGCTAAACTTCAGGAAATTCCAGAATATGTAACAGGATGCTTGTGCAAAATATTTCTTTTTAATAACTCTCTCTCTTTATGAGACTATGAAAGATGACTTGATACTCCCTCAAAAGGGAAAACTAGTGTTTTGTGAAAGGTTAAGGCCAGAATATAAATATAATTGTATGTTTTCCGTTGTAGTTCTGGGGATCAAACCCAGGGCTGGGTAAGTACTGTTCCGCTGAGCCATTGAAGGTCAACCTGTTGGATGTGTCCACAGGGTGGGCCATGCTGGGTCATGGATCCAATTTCTTGAGCCTGACTATTGGGCTCTGCTACCCACTCTCCCTAAGACTGTGAGCAAGTTATTTCACACCCTTGTGCCTCAATTTCACTATGTATAACAACAGCCCGAAGAGCTCATCCTAAGGATGCTGAGAAGTACACCAGTGGCTGCATGCAGGGTCTTAGACACTGCTAGCACAGACCCACTGCCCCCACCAGGGACATCTGGTCATACATATCCATGTTAAGCATATATATTTCTTTAAGCCTAATGTAAAGAGTAAATTTCTTACTGGGACTGGGGATGCAACTCAATGCATACAGCACTTGCCCAGCATGCACAAAACCCCAATTCTATCTCAGCAACACAGAAACCAGGTGTGGTGGTACATGCCTGTGGTGCCAGTACTCAGATGGCAGGACAGCCACAAGTTCAAGTTATCTTCACCTGCAGATAGAACTTCAGGCCAGCCTGAATGAAGTAAGTCCCCATCTCAGAAATTAAGCATTTGCTTACCAGTCTGGGGTCAATTTCTTCATTGAGGACAGCTTCGTTTTTGATGAGGGCCACTCGTTGGGCAAATCTGCAGGTGGAGATGGACTCCTAAGAAAAACCACAGAATAGCTTCTTAAAATATGATGGCATAGAAAGGCATTCTCCTTCAGATAAAACTTAATTTTCATTAACAGAAAAAGATACCAGAAAGGCAAGATGTCTGGAAACACACAGTACGTAACTATGCCTCAAAATGGGAGGATTGGCCCTAGGGCACTGCTTTCTTTTTTTAAATGGGTTTGGCTTGGTAAAATGACAAAATATAGGCAAATTGCCAAAAATATAGGCAATCCAGGGGTCTCAAGATGCAACTGATATGTATTTGACTCTGTTAAATCAGAATGTCACATGAAAGTCCCAACCATAGCAGGTGTCATGGTCCATAAGCATGCAAGACCACAGAATAAATGTTTGGTAAATAAACCAAAGGAGCAGTTTCCACACCATTCACCATAAATGACTTCATGTGTCATGAGGTATACCTTCTGCCTTGTCTTCCCCTTTGGAGGAGTGTCTGCACCCAAAATGTTAATCTGTCTCTTACAAGACACCAGCTGGCTCCATGGCTCCCCAGGGAAGCCCTTCTGCATATCCCCTGGCTAAGTATCCAGGGATCACCATCCGAGAGAGTCTAGGACCAGATCTCGGGTTGGCTCCGAGATACCCAGAGAGTGTATCAGCGCTGCTCAAAAGATGTGAACCCACCCAGGCCCCTCAACCCCACCTCACCACCCAGTGACAGAACCCAGACTAAGAGTTGCAGAGAGAAGTACTTCGTACATCAATGTTCCTCTTCTCTAAAGAGAGGGTGGCGATCATGGTGGTCATGCAGTTCCCTCCCAGACTGTCTCTGAGCACGCTGGTCATCATGGAGTTCCTGTAAGGGATGTGTGTGCGGTGTTTTTCTGAAAGGGCAATAATGACCTGTGGGAAGGTAGACAGATGATGTCATTAGCCAGGCAGGAAAGGCATAGCTGACAATGGACTTTCAATAATGTGAATTACAAAATATAATATTAAAATAAATATAATGTTTAGGTAATTAAAATAAATATAATAGTTAAACACAGGAGACATCCAAGTCTTTGGCACAAAACTCGTTTTAACAAGTGCTTTCAACACAAAAATGACAAAAATGGGGCTGGAGCAGTTGCTCAGTGGTTAAGAGCATTTGTTGCTGCTCCAGAGGATCTGAGTTCCCTTCTTCACACCCACACTGAGTGGCTCACACCTGCCTGTGACTCCTGTGCCAGGGAACCCAACCCCCTCTCCTGGTCTCCCGGGCACCTGCAGGAAGAGTGAGCAGCATGGCTGCTTTGAAGTAATCAATTAAGCAACTCACTCTCCTCCCCACTTTGAACTTCTCTCATAAGAGATGTTAATATTCATTTCTGTTCTTGGGAACGTTGATGTGGGTAACACAAACAATACACTTATAAACCTTCCTGGCAATATTAATTGGATATTCCTGAACTCACTTTTGGTTGTAAGTTACAGAACATTGAAGTCACGATGGTCTCAGTCATGAGGGTGGAAACAGGAAATAACACCCTGTTGTTATACACTTCTTTACTCATAAGTCAGATGAGAACAGACTTCTTTTCTTTCATCCTGAGTTTCTCTAGGGAGCATCTGGGTCCCTTCAAGACCCATGGGTTGATAACTGCAGCCAGAGGAAGGCTCCAATTTGCTCTAGCCAATAAGGATCTAATTCCTAGGTCTGGAATGGTCACATCACATCCTCTCCATGAAGGGATCTAAAATTGCTAGAGAAAATAATTAAACATCAAAGTGGGACTGTGGTCCTAAAATGGAGGAACTGAGGTTATGTGTGAAAGAAGAAATCAACTGGTATTTGGAGGCAGAATCCAGCTTTCTCACTTGTGTGACTATGGAAAGTCTCAAAGGCGTGGTAGCATCTCTTTCCTTGTAAAGCAGGGACCAGGATGCCTGACTATCTTAGAGGAATGCTGTAATGGTCAAGAGGAGAGGAGCTTCAGAGACGGCTATTGTGAAGAAGTGCTCACTGGACAGGCATGAGGACATGAGCTCAAATCTCCAGCATCCGTGTAAAGGTTGTATGTGTCTGTACGTGCCTGTGACCCCAAAACTGGTGGACATAGAGACAGGCGGGTCCCAGAAGCTCAGTTCCAGCCAGCCTAATGCAGCCAAATGATGAGCTTCTGTTTCAGTGAGATACCCGTTTCAGGGCAGCAGTGAGATACCCCGTTTCAGGGCAGCAAGATAGAAAGAAATAGAAGACACCCGATATCTTTTGTTTTTCTCTAAGACTGGATCAATTCTGTGTAGCTCAGTGTGGCCTTGAACTAACAGAGATCCATCTGCCTGACTTCTGAGTCCTGTGATTATAGGTGTATGCCACCACAACTTGGCTCTATAACTGTGTGTATCACCACTACCTGACCTCTATGGCTTGTGGCTAGCTTTGCTTTCTGAACCCTCAGGCAAGCTTTGATGAATCATAAATAATACATCACCACAAGAGAGGACCCTGAGCAGGTCTCTTTAAGCAACGCAGTGAGTCCAGACCACATGGAGTAGCTCTGAAGAGTGGCACAGAGAAGGGATGTGCTGTGGGCAAGCAGAGGGGCTTGATCTTTGAGGGGTTGCAATGGGCTGTTCATTGAAAGGCACGGGAGTCTGGAAGGGTCATAGTGTGTGTGTGTGTGTGTGTGTGTGTGTGTGTGTGTGTGTGCGAGCATGCGTTTGCATACATGCATGCAGGTGCCCATGAAGTCAGAAGAAGGCATCAGACCCCCTGGAGCTGAGCTTACAGACAGCTGTCAGCCACCTGATATGGGTTTTGGAAACTGAACTCTGATCTACAAGAGCAGCAAGTGCTCTTAACCACTGAGCTATCTGTACAGCCTCCAAGGGGGATTTTCTTTTAAAGGGCACAGAAGAGCACAGAAACCAACCAAGACTGGGAGCAGCTATGCCTGGCATTGGCCCAGCACCTTCACTGCCGAGCACAGTGTCACTAAAACACGTGTGCTGGGGACTGGCTGATGGCCGAGAGCAACCCCATTTGATTTCTGAAGCGGAGGTGGGGGGGGGGTGTCGGGCAAACACCAGTTCCCAGCGGTTTCTCACTTGCTGTTTGGGCTGATGGAGACCTCGGGTCACCCCCAGGGCACTTGTTGAGGTTTACAGTTAGCACAAGGACGCATACTCTCTTTCCTTCTCCTCATATGAACTCTGGCTCTGGGGCTAAGAGGTGCTGTTATTGTGGCTTGAAGTGTTTTTGAGGAAATGCTTTGGAAAAAGTGCTGCATACATAAAGAGAACTCCAAAACCAACAATAGTCTGGCAAACTGAATATTAATCACTTAAACATGTAAAGTCAGCAAACTTATGCTGGCTGAGTTCTAGCAGGTGTGAGGTCTCTTAAATATGACCATGAGGACAACTAGAATTCTGTAAGAGATTTCTAAACCAATGCAAGTTAATGCAAAGCAGCTGATCAGACTAGCCCTTCCTCTACATGTCTGTTACACTGAAACTGGGAGAGAGAAAGGGTGTGATTAATTATCACCACTTATATTGAGTCCATTATGGTGTTTATCTGACTATATGTAGGTGTTAGTTCTGTCCTAGTTAGCTTTAGCTGTCAACCTGACACTGCCTAGAGTCCCTTCCCAGATCAGACTGGCCTGTGCACATATCTGGAGAGGGGGACTGTCTCATTTGCTCATTGATGTGGGAGGGCCCCGCCCACTGTGGGCAGCACCATACCCTGTCCAGGGGCTCCTGGGCTGTATAAGAAAGCCAGCTAAGTACGGATTTGCATATGAGCCAGCAAGCAGAGTTTCTCTGTGGTTTCTGCTTCAAGTTCCTGCTTGAGTTCCTTCTTCAGTGATGATCTGTCGCCTGGAAGCTGAAGCAAACCCTTTCTTCCCTAAGTTGCTTTTGATCGTGGCGCTTGTCACAGCCAACTGAGCAGGCTTTGTTGTTTCGCTGGTTCTATGATCATAGCTTGTTCTCAGGCAGGACTCCAGCCCACTGTCCAACATAACCCACAGCTTCCAATGGAAACTCAACTGCTATCTACCGAGTGGATGGATGAGCTAGCTTCACTACATTGTTTTACACTCCCAGTCTCTTTAGCCATACAATAAAATACACATAGAGATAATTTGGCTGTAAGTGTCCATGAGCTATGTGATTTCATTACGTATCTGCTCATTCACTCTTCATTGCTCTCACTGTTAAGTGCTCTGTCTTTCTCTCTCTCTTTCTTTCGGAAAGTAGTTCTCTTCTGACCTCCCACCTGCTCACCAGAAGTTCTTCTGTGGCCATGTCTGCACCACCCATACCCGTTTTCCTTGCCTCCCCTGTGAGTGTCTTTTCTCCCCGTGATCTTATGCCAAGCCTCCTCCCTGCCTGCGAAGGCACTTGGGTCTAAGAGAAAATAGCTAACAGCTGTCCTGATGTGGTGGGTGGAAAGGAAACAGAATGGCTGAGGGCCAGTGACACATGAGTGACATTTAGGCTGGTGAACGGTCCTCTGGGCTGGGGAGTTGTAGATCTATCTGCTCATAGCTCCTGGGACCTGACCTGCTCCACCCCACCCTTGCCTGCTCCCGCCCACTCCTTCATTTCAGAGGCGTCATTAACTCAGGCTTCCTCAGTCTCAGCCAATCTTTCTTCACCCTTTCCTTGCTTGTTACAGCTCCCACCTGAGGTGCAGCTAATGTTCTAATGATGGCCACGGCTTCAGACCTTTGGGGTAAGGCTGTGTCTATGACCCTCAGCACATTATAGATCTACCCTACTCTCATTTCAGTTACTGTGGCAAAATATCCCGAAACAAAACAACTTGGGGGAGAAAGGGGCTTATTTCAGTTTGGTGGGGAGGTCAAGGCAGAAACTTCAAACAGCTGGTCACTTAACATCCATAGTGAAGAATAGAGAGAAACAATGAGCACATGCTCACGGGCTTGCTTGTGTTCACCTTCATTTCCCCAATTTCTTATAATTCAAGTCCCTTGCCTAGGGAATGGTGCCACTCACAATGGGCTAGGTCATCCCAGATCAATGAGAGGAAGACAATCCCCACAGACATGTAAGTGGGGCAGCCTAATACAGACGATCCTTCATGGATCCTTTCTTCCCAGGTGACTCCTGGCTTTGTCAAGCTGACAAAGCTGACTCTCATAAGATCATCATCAATATTTGCTAGATAAGTAATCAAAGCCATCACAAGGTCCACATAGGCATTATGAATGTTCACAAGGATTGTAAAGTAAACAGGTGTGAGGATTGGAATAATTCTAACGACAGCTAGGAATTTGAGGAGATTGTGTGGAAAGGAGGAAGGACTTGGATGTGGGAAGACTGTTTCTCCGAGTGATTACAATTGGTAGGAAGTTTGATTCAGCTGAAGAGTGTAATTTTCTATGAACAGATGGACACAATGGGAATTAAAACCACGCTGCCATCTGAACACATAGACAAATTTCTTTTAAATAAGGCAATTTGAATACAGCTCGTTATAGGCATATATCATTGTTCCAGTAAATGTCCTATTAAGCCCAAAGCTCCATCAGTATAAGTGCTTGGAATATCTGAGCAAGAAAGAGCTTAGAACTGATGATTCTTGTCAAAAGCACCAAAATGGCCAATGCCTGCAGGCCCTCATCTAAGGCACTGGATTCCTGGGGTTCTCAGGGATGAGGCTAACTGTATCCTCTCATTCAGGCAGGTTCCCCTGGGGTGGCCTCTTCAGCCACATGACTACTCTGAAGCATCAGGGATGGTAGCCAGGAGGGAGTGTGGGAGGCTCAAGACAATCCAAGGCTAACAAATCACCATAGCAGGAAGATTACTGACCAGATGAAGTTACTAGAAGCTATCAGAATACTGTTCCTATCTGAGCTACATTTCTCAGGGGTAATCTCTGAGCTGGGGAAACAAACACACAAAACAGGCAACAGGAGACCACTTGGAGCCTGGATTCATGTCCAGCACTAATTTTACAATACAGATAATAAGGCAATGGTGCTCCCTCTTTATTGTGTGCTGGGCCCAGTGAAAACTCAGATCAAATCTTCACCCTGTTACTAGGTGAGTGACCTTGGGATGATAAATACTTACAATCTGTAAACTGGAGAAGTTAATACTTCTAGCAAAAGGGCATTGTGGGGTTTAAATGGAATGGTGTCTACAAAGCTCTAGTAGATACATGGATTCACTGTTATGCATATTTTACCATAATTAAAAAATGAACAAAACTAGACTAGAATGTCTGCCACAATGTCTGCAGGTGCCACTGATCTCGCTCCCCCAATTCACCTGCTCCAGGTAGTGTAGTGACAAGTTGATATACTTGGCCTCTGTCAGAAGCAGGCCCCCGACTCCAGTCTTTGCAACACGCTCTGACCCTGCCAGGTCAACCAAGTGGAGCTTAGCATGCCGGACGGTGGCAGATCCTGGCTCTTTGCTGGTCAAGTGAATGGTGAAAATACAGTGTGAACGGGTTGAAGCTTGGTTCATAGGAGTCTAGAAAAAAGAAATTGAAAAATGTATAGTAATTGGACTGGAGAACCTTCAGAGAATATCAAAAGATTTTTAGATTGTAATTCTAATAGCAAGGCATTTCCCATGAGGCCAGCACTCACAGGTGAACCTCTCAATGTCTGTGCTCTTCAGGGTGCTGTTACCTGCTGGGTAACTGGTAACAAATGTTGATGTGTTGTTCAGAAGGTGACAACAGCACCCTACTGGGGTAATTATGGGGCACCTGGTGGAGAAGGAGGGGGCTCAATTGGTAAAGACCTATAGTGAGAGAACAGAGCTTGGATTCCCAGAACCCAGGTGAAAAGGGTTGTCTCTGCCTGTAACTCTACCACAGGGTGGGGGTGGAGCAGAGACAGGCTAATTTCCAGGAGCTCACTGACCACAGTGTTTAACCCATTAGAAAGAGACCCTGTCTCAAAAGATAGGGGAGAGGGTTGAGAAAGACACCTCTGGCCTCCAAATGCAAATGCACAGGACAGCACACACACACACACACACACACACACACACACACACACACACACACACACACGCAAGAAACATTTAAAAAGTTTACTGTGTTTGCAAGATCAAAATATGAAAATCAATTAAGTTTTAATAGCCCAACAAGAATTTATCAGGGAACATAATTATTCAGAAGGGCAACAAAGACCATGAAATTTTAAGAAATTGTTATATAAGAATAATGATAGAGGAAGACACCTGACAGTGACCTCTGGTTCCCACATATGCACACACAGGTAAGCACATTTACACGTATGAATGCATACATGCAAATACACATGACCACACAGGTGAGAACACCTGTACATATGAATGCATATATACACACATGCATTTGCCACACATACACATGCATGTGCTTGTACATATATACACAAACACACACTAAAATAAAATAAACAGTATGACTTTTCATACTACGCATACAAATCAATACCAGAATGCACTAAATACCTACATATAACAAACAACACAACATCGACACCAAGACAAGAAAATACACGAGCAGATTGTAATCTCTCCAAAGTGGTAGTTGATACTTTAAAATATCAACAAGAAAGCAAAAACCTGGAAAAAATGAAAAAGGGAGATGACTAGATAACTCAAAGAAATTGGAAATATACTTAATGAGCACTAGAAAAACTGCTCCAAGTTATAATAATGACTGTAGATATTAGAACGATAAAGATAAATTATTCCATGCCCATCAGGCTGCAGCAATTGCAAAATGAAGGCTAAGGAAATAAGTGCTGGTGGAGACATAAGGATATTGCAATTTTCACAAACTGCTGATGGAAATACAAATTAAGAGTATTTTTAAAAGAAATTTTGCAATATGTTACAATACTGCAAATGCAAAATTTTCATGCCATAGTGATAAAACACTGTGTGTGGTTCCCAGAGAGAAGTCATGAGAAGGTGTACCAGGAGATACATAAATTAAAACAGTAGGTGCAATGTCTTGGGATAACAAGAAATTGGTGCCTATGTATAGCCTAAATGGACATCTGTGACAGAGGAGACAATAGACTAGGAGACGTTAAAATGTAGTGGCCTTCAGAAAAGATTGTCATAAATGATGATATACTTCTAAAGTAAAAGGTAAAGGAAAAACAAAAAGGTAAGAAGGATACAAATGCTGTGATGGAGTTTTCCATACCATAATACTGGCACTGCCAACTCTTTATGCAACTATAACTTATGTCATTAAAATAGGAAATCATGGGTTGGAGGCTACAGAGAATGAAGGTGGTGGCCTTCTATAAGGATGGAAAAGAAAAGCCAACAAAGGGCCGCATGCTTTACCTGCAATATGCTTGTGATAACATTGATTGTCAACTTGACAGAGTCTAAAATCGCCTGGACATGGCTGTGGGGAATCATTGTGATGACGTTGACAGGTGTGAGAAATTGTTCCAGACAAATCCTAGCTGTGGGCAGGATCACTTCCTGGGCAGGGGATCCTGGACTGAGTAAGACAGTCAGGCATCCACAAAGCATATATTCACTCCACTCCTGTATTTCCTGATCCAGGATGCAATGTGAGCAGCTGTCCCAAGCTCCCACCCCCATGATCCCCTCCCACGAACTGTGAGCTAGAGTAACCTCTTTTTCCTGAGTTGCTTTTGTTGAGTATTTGATCACAGCAACAGATAGAAAATTGGTTCTGAGAAGTGGGGGCATTGGTACATCAATCTGACTGTGGTCCTTAGGTTTTGAAAGGGTTTTGTGGCAAGAATGTGGAAGAGTTGTAAACTTTGGGCCATAAATGCCCTTGAATTCTGTAAGAAGAGCTTAAAGGGTCATTACATTGGGAGCTCAGAAGACAAGGATGGTGAGAAAGATGCAGACCATGGAGACCAGGCTCTTGGGTTTCAGAGGATGCAAGGACTCCATCAGGGACCAGATTAATATGGTTTCTTTTATTTAAAAACCATCAGAAGCAACTCGGGAACAGTGAAATCATCAGGAACTGGTCTGTCATTCTCTCTATATACTTTTGGGGGTTTACATTTTCTCTAAGAAAGGAATAAATACAATGTAAGAAAGCAAGCAATGAGTCAGTGGCATTGTGACGTCAATAAAAAACAGAATGTTCCAGACAAATACTCATGTGAATCAATTCAGAGCCATTCAGATCAAAACCAAAGAAATTCCAGTATGGATACATGTGCACACAGATGGAGGAACATACGTTGATGTGTTTCCAATCAGAAATTCTTTCTGTCGATATAAATTCTTGATACACACCATGGTTGATTTACACCAACTAGCAAAATACACAGATGTCAACATGCTGGCAATAGTTTGAAGCTTACAATGCAGTGAGTGGTTACATAGGCTGAAAATTTGGCCCAAATCTAGCCAGCTTATGATCTCTCTCTCTGTCTCTGACTCTGTCTCTGTCTCTGTCTCTTCCTCTTCCTGTTGTGGTGGGTCAGCAAATAACTGACAAGTAAAACCACAAACTCAAATATAGAACCTGACTTGAGGTGTTCTGGAAGTGTCTGGAAGTTATTTGCAGAACTTAAACACAGGTTTCACTTCACTGTTGTGTTCATGGGACATAAATTCTGTGAACTGAACTGAAAGTCAATTAACAGGTGCTGTGGAAAAAAATCACACAGAGGAATCTCAACAGCTGCTTCTGCCCCCAGCTGCTGATGCTGACACAGCAACTAAGCTCAGGCCTTTAATGAACATTGGAAGCTCATGCCCATTTCAAAACACTAAGAGAATCACACATACAAAGTGCATTTCTGGGTCCTGCAATTAAGCACAGTGATATGTTGTAGGAATCCATGCCTTGAGTTTTGTAATGTCTCATAAATATTTTCTACATGACGTAGCTGTTGGTGTCCTCTTAGATAAAATTTTCTTAGACCTCAGACAATGTTCTCCAATGTGCGGTATCACTGGATGTGCCCATGTCTGCTTGTCTTCAGTCAGTGGAGTCTCTATGCCTTGTGGGCATGCCCATTCCCTTATCCTTTTAAAGGTAAGAACTGTATTTGAATATTGCTGAAATTGCCCAAGAACAGATGGCACCATTTAGGCAGATTCAATTCAAAACTGAGCACATGTTTGAAGCAAATGTGTTCTTGGCACTCGCCTGTGCCTTTGGAAAAATTCTCAGGATGATTAATCATCAGCATGAAGAGAGCTTTTGCATTTTGTGTCAGTCTTTCTAGATAGCTGTGCTAGGTGGCAAAGAGAATAAAGGAAAATGAGGACTGGCCACATACCTCAAGGAACTTGTAATCTAGTCAGAAACCAGAGCCCAGGGGTGTGAAATGGGAGCAAACTGGAGGTGAGGAGAGGCAGTGTGTAGTAAAGGAGACGGTCTGGGTGGGGTGTGGCTTCCTGGAGAAAGCATAGGTCATGCATTCTGGTTTCTTTTCTATTGCTGTGACAAACACCCTGGACAAAGAGCAACAGAGGGAAGAAGGGGTTTCCTCCGCTAATTCCATAGGTAAGACAAGTAACAGCTTTAGGAACTTGGTGCAGCAAGTCATGTCCAGTCAAGAACAGAGAGAGCACACTCTGTTGTTCGCTTGCTTGCTCTCAGCTAGCTTTCTCCTCTCCTACACTGTTCAGGATCCTAGACAATAGGCAGGGCCTTCCTATGTCAGTTATCTATGAGGACACCACACACACACACACACACACACACACACACACACACACACAGAGAGAGAGAGAGAGAGAGAGAGAGAGAGAGAGAGAGAGAGAGAGAGACAGAGAGAGAGAGAGAGAGACAGAGAAAGACAGAGAGAGACAGAGAGAGAGAGAGAGGCCCACAGGCCAATCTGATTTAAATAATTCCTCACTAACGACCCTCTTCCCTGATAATTCTAGGTTGTGTCAAGTTGACAATTAAATTAAAAGTAACTGGTTCACCAAGTTTCATCGACAGCATCCACATCAAAAGCAAGACATGGCAGTGCACACTTACAATCCCAGTGCTCAGGCAATAAGACAGGGAAATCCTGGGGTTTCCTGGACAGCCTAAGCTACCCAGCAAGCTTTACTTCAATGGGAGGCTCTGTCTCAGACAAAACAACAAAACAGAATGAGATGGATTATTGGGCCTAAAAAGGCCTGGTGGAATTTCCTGAGCCTGGCTAGATTTTGGCGACCTGATTCAGCAAAACTGCCTCTGCCCAGCCACTGCTGGCACGGTGAGATATTATTGGCACTTACACCTCACCCCATTCTGAGGTCCCCACCCACTTTCTCAACTCTATATAAGTACCTGCCTGATGCAATAAAGCCAGACTACCCACTCAGTGTGTGGTTCTCTCGGGTGACTAGGAGGAGGCTCTCAGTCATTGACACTCACCATCCTGCTCAGCCCTGGGAAGAGACCGGCTGGACCAGCCCTTCCTACAGCCCTGCCTGCTGGAGGACCCGGCAGAGTGGTGCCTGAACAGGGGCCCTGGCAATGCATGACTCCCAAGAAATGGCGCTAAGGTTGA